GTTCTAAAAACTCTTTAATTTTTTTAAAAAACATCTTTATAACTTCTATTCTGGCAAAATCATTAAAGAAACAGTTGGAAAATGAGATCCACTCAAAGCAAGCTTTTATCTATTAATTAGACAAATGGCTGGTACTAGATCTTAATTTCTTATTAACTTAATCCAACAACATAATTCTAATAATGATAAAGCTGCTACAATACCATTTAATATTCTTGAAAAAACACTCAAAAAACTTATTCTTATATTTACAACAGTTCTTTTTACTAAACTTAACTATCTAGAAATATTTGCCTCTTCAGTCACCATTCCACCTATTTAAACTCATAATTAATTACAATTTTGTATTAATCTTGTCTGACTTTACTTATATTTTTCTGATAACTATTAAGCAATTAACTACATCAAATTTGCAGAAGATATCAAACTAAAACCCAAAAGATTTAATATAACATCTGAGGTCACTGAAGTTGATAAACAATATCAGTTTCTTTTTATTAAAATAGATAATTGTTTTAATATTAAACTTAATTTTAATCTTTCTAAAACCTTATTCCTTCAAAAATACAATATATCTTCTTTAAAAAATTCACTTAACCATTTTAATGAATAGTTCAAAAAATTTTTTCCTATATATAATCATCAATTCTCTAATACTATCAACAAAACCAAAGTCCAAAACTATCTCAAATATGAATTTAGACAACATTTTATTTCTCATCTTAAAAAGCTTCTACCTACCACTATTGAGTTCAAAAAACCAACTAGTCTTTATGAAAAACATAATAAAACCTTCAGACATGCCAACTATTATATAATTACCTATACAGACCCCAATTGTTCCTATCTTGAGTCAGTCACAACTAAAGATAAGAAAAAAGAAAATGATAAAGAAAAAGAACTAGAAATTAAAAACAAACCTAACAAAACTCAAAAAACAAACTCTAAGTCACAACTTATATACAACTCAACCAAACTTATTAGAAATATATTCGATATATCATACAATACTTATCTAAAAGAAATTGAAGTTTGAAATGAACTCTTCCTTGATGCTTCAATATTCTATATTAAAGAAAAACATGAAGCTACATTCACTAAACAAATTTCTACTACAGTTTTAGATAAATTAACAACAAAAGCAGAAAAATATACTTGTTTTGTTAATTCTGTTAGGACTAATTCAAAATGACAAATCTTTTACTTTTATCAATATCTAAATATCTATCAAAATACTGTTGCAGAAAACCACAATATTGATAAAATAGACAAATAACAGGCTATTAACTTTCTTACATCTAAACTTATTGACACTGACTTTTTTGCATATATCATTACATACTTTAATTGCACCTGCAATAAATCTCCTAACTATTCTGTAATAACCAAATTCTACAAAAAAAAAGCATTACCAGAAACTGAAACAACTTTACATGAAAAATTTAACATCAAATTTGAAATACCCATATCTATTGCAGAGTTACTATTCTTAGAACAAGAAGAATAGGCTCCTTTTTAATAAATTTGTTTTCTACAAAACCCATAGATGCAGCTGTCATCTTATTAAATGACACATCCATAGTAGTTAATAGAAAAAATAATGTAAGTAGGCAGGTGATAAAGCCTATTTACATGGAAGGCCAAAATAATAACAGTTAGATCCAACACACAGAGCAGACTTTGGTATCTTGTACAGAATAAAAGCCAAATATACAGTAATCAACTATGCAGAAGACAATCTCAGAAGATCATTCTTAATATTTCTAAGCTCCTATAATCTTCATATATGTTTCAACAAATTCCTTCTTTATTACAACTTATTATTTCTTTCTTATGATTAAATCATTCAATCTCTTTACAACATATTGATAAACATAACTATAATAACATTGTTTCTAGCATTACTTTCTCTGTTAGCAATACATATGATGAAACTTATATATACCTCCCAAATGATTTTCTTTTATCTAATCATATTGTTATCCATACTTATCTTCTTCCTATCTTTTACAACCTTCATTTTAGATCAAACTCCTCTAATTCTACTTTTATTCCATCTGATTTATTTTTTAACATTTATATTATATCATAAGTATCCACATCTACACAAACTTTATATGACCTTTATTTAAATATTTGTATATACAATGTTAGAGGTTATAATACAGTAACTAAAAGAGAAGCTTGACAAAATTATTGTCTTCACAATAATATCCATATCTCTTGTATTACTGAAATCAAAATTACTAATAGTACTAATTTTCAATTTTACAAAAACAATTTATTCATCTACTTCTGGGCCAATTCAGAAAATTTAACAAAAAATACTACTATTATGATTCAAAAATACTTACAATTACATATATACAACTGCTAAACATATCCTAATAGATCAATTACTTTAGATTTATTTTTCAAAAATAAAATTAAACTTCAAATTATAGCTGTCTATCTTTCTTCTACTAATATACAAAAATATAACAATATACAAAATACTGTTATTACATAGATCCAATAGGTTCTTCAACATAACCTTCATCTAATAATACTTGGAGACTTTAATACATATGATGATATCTGTAGCTTTTCATCTAAATTTAAACTCATTAATTATTTATACTACTCCAACATATTTGATCTTGGTGCATATATTGATAACAAGCATTTTACATAGTCAAACAATACTAGCCACAGTCATATTGATTATATCTGGATTGATTCATTCAACATTCAATTCTTTCTTTCATACAAGCTTGATGATAATAATACCTTAATACTTAGTGACCACTTTATTTTTACATCTACCTGGATTTTTACTAATACTTATAGCAAACCTCTACATCATTATACTGGAATCAGTCACAGAATCTTTAATTATAAAGCTATATCAACTAAAAAATGAACAGAATTTTCTGATCTTCTCTCATACAATCTTAGTTTTCATAATATATCACTCAATAGCAATATCAATGAAAGCATTGAAACTACTTAGTACAAGATTGAATATTCAATAATTAATATTGCAATACATTCTATTTCTAATAAAAAAACTTGTAAATGCAATTATAATCATCAATATTTTTCTAACTCTATCTTAATCTACGCATTATATAAAGAGCTTGGGTATCTAATAAAAATTATTAAAAATACTCAAATCAACCTCAACATGAACATGATAAATACTATGATCAAGACTATTAATGATAGATTCTACTGTGACCTTCAAACTTTTGATCCAATTGTACAAGATATTTGGAAACAACTTTATTATACTTATCATATAGAAAACTTGTTACTACTTCACTAACAAATTCAACAAGTAACTGAAAAGAGATGTGAAATACTTTCAACATATCCTAAACAAGTTATTAATAGCATTCTTAATCGATACAAAGTTCCTATTCATTTTTCTAACATCAAACTTCCTGACCAACTTAGTACAGATCCCAAACTTATAAAATAGCATATACAATCTCATTTCCATGACTGGACTGCATATTGACCAATTGACCAAGCACTGTTTGACAGTTTTTGGCATACACATTATCAACTACAATCACATATCAACACCTAATAGTACAACTCTCTTAACTCTCCTATTATAGAAAATGAAGTTCTTCAAACTCTGTCACAATTTTCAAATAAAAAAACTTGTGAACCTACAGATATTAGTTATAAAATGCTTAAACATGCAGATATTACCTGCATTAAAGCTATTACAGTCCTATTTAATTGTTGCTTTAACTCAAATCAAATTTTCAAACAATAGAAACATAGCAGAATTTATCTGATTCCAAAATGTAATACATTTAATGATGATCTAAGTCTTACTTGCTATATTAATCTTATTGAATATATTTGAAAAGTCTATACAAAAATTATTACTACTAGAATCAGTACTATGTTTTCTCAATATCCAATACTTTCATCCTACAATTATGTAACTCTACCTAACAATAATACATCTATACTAATTTATATACTTAATAACCTTATTGAAGATGCATCATGTAACAACAAACCAATTTGACTCTTATCTTAAGATATAAGTAAAACATATAACTTAGTTAATCTTTCTCTTCTTCAAAAATCTTTATAACATCTTGCTCTTCCTAACTCTATAATAAATACTATTACTAACATCCTTCATGATTGACAAAACCAAGTCATTACAAATCTTGGACTTACTCCATCATACTCTGTAAAAACCCTTAATTATAATAAAAGTTTTATTTACACTTAAGGTTAATTTCCTCTACATTACCTATTTACACTATATCTTCATTAAAACACTTATCCCTATTATCATAACGAAGAAACAGATACTCTATATGCAGTCGCTCTTCCCGATGTAATAAAAGTAACAAAAGTAATAAAAGTAAGATTTCTCTTACTTTCCATGTGACCAATTACTCGGGTAGGGGGACGGGACCTAAGTGTGACGATCGATCACGTGTAACTGTGATAACTGTGGAACAGGAGGAAACGTACCTGATCCAAAGTGAATCCCACACACGGTGTGATCAATTAAAACTAAAATAAATAATTTTAGTTTTAATTGATCACACCGTGTGTGGGATTCACTTTGGATCGGGTACGTTCCCTCCTGTTTAACTGTGGATGAAGCAAGAGTTGATTTATTTTATTAGATTGAGCGTTGTATTTATACATTTTAATGTTCAATAAAATCAAATCTAAATATTGAGTTTCAAATTAACATCTGTGATCTCAAATGCAAACACAGCTTATATTAGATAACAAAAAGTAATGCAAAATTATCATTCAAAAAAAAAAATGAAAAAAAAATAGCAAAAGGGTTTCAAGCCAAACCAAAATTCATGACCATGACACTAAACCCAGATTTTGGATTTCAAATCAACGCACAGCCTATACTAGTACAAGAAAAAGTATCGCAAAATTATTATGCAAAAATAAATAAATAAATAAAATAGAAAAGTAAAATTAACACTAATATTTTGTAACACTACATACCTGAAAGATTACACTATTCCGTATGCACAAACACCTGTACGTGGAGAATTGACAAGAGGTGACAACATATATGTATCATTTTCGTTGACTACACAAGAATGTCTTTCCTTACAGTCTTTGCATGTTTTCCCACCGCATAGAGTACAAATGATTTCAGCAGGTATGTTACACATTTCACATGAAAAAGCGGGCGGATCGTTTTTCATCATGAGTGTAATATCATCGCATGGGCAGGCAACTACTGTCGCTGTAACTTCTAGCCTAAGATAAGTGGACGAACCCATATCATAGGTATATCTGAATTTCATACCTGGCGATAAGAGTTGTCCCACTTTTTTGTTCATGGTTTGGGTTCCATCTCCAGAAATGGGATGAGATGAATATTCGTGATTACTGATGTAAAATGAACTCAAATGGCCGCAACATTCCAACCAAATATCGCGTAAAAAGTCGTTCAATAATTCCAAAGTAAAGTCTTTGGGAATAGTTACAAACATCCAATACCAACTTGGGTGGTCTTTTGAAGAAATTCGAATTAAATAACCTTCACTTGTTAAATCAGAAGGAGTATACGTTTGCGGAATGCATTGAAGCAAGTGCGAACTTGCTTTACCGGCGCTGTACATTCTGGCACATTGAGCACATGGACCTTTGGTGTTTAAAGTCATAGTTTTTCAGTGTTAAAAAAGTAAAGTGCTGCCAAATATTACATTACAACCACAAATTACAACTATAGATATAAAAGTATCGTAATTTTTACGTATTATAATGTAAATTGTAATTCACGTGTTTAGCTGGATCATAACAGTAAACCTTTTTACAGTTTTATACAGTAGTTAAATAAAGTAAAAGGGTCTTTCAGCTGTACTCGTATTGTTACCATAAATTTATATACAGTATACATACATACATATTATGATTGGCAAAGTACTTTTGTGAATAATAATGACCTATATGTAATATTAAGTACTTAATACATTCTATTGCTTATTACGTATACATATGAAACACACGATAATAGGAGGAACCGTCGATGTTACACAACTGATCCTTCACCCGGTGTGCAACATATAAATAAATTATTTTAAAATACCAGATCAGTACGCTAGTATATGTTATGAATATAATCCCACACCATTTTTATTATAACGATAATAAAATGGTGTGGGATTATAAACTAATTTATTTATATGTTGCGCGCACGATAACAGTCGGAAGTGAATGACCTAAACTGAGATTGAACAAAAAGGTGCTGCTAAAAATAAAATAATCATGAAAATTACCTATTGCAAAAAATCTTATCCCCATATTTACTACGATATAGACTACAATCCAATATAATTTGATAGCTTAATCACAGATCAATCATGAAATTTCCAATCAAATTTGCAAGACGATGTAAGGGATGATCAGATGAATTACTATAATACAGCAATATACAATCCAATTTGGGATCTGAATTTTTGTTTCGTGAAATTCTGATCCCCATTGTTTTATTTAACAATCATACGATTTTAACTATGATCATACTCATATCGATATGGACTAATCGGCTGGATTGGCCTCTAAATAGAGTCACTAAATTTAATTTAAACCCTTTATTTAATTTAAATATATATTATTTTATTGGTCCGGAGAATTATTGTGATAGTTTTAATTTATTGAGGCTCTATTCTGCGAGACAATTTAATGAATATATATTACATAGGATGTGCTCAATCAGCTCCTTCAATGTGATTAGTAGCAGTCAAGATGTTGCACAAATTATTACAATTATGAGTGGTTAATGTGGTTAATTGAAGAACAACTTGTTAATATTAAAAATTCATTGTGCTAAATACAGGATCTAAAAATGGACTACGCCTTCAGGTTTTGTTCATCGAAATGGTAATTCGCTTGTTTGGTTTATCAATTTCCGACTAATTAGAATTTTGCTTACAATCTATTGATTAAAGGCTTGAAAATACCCTTATCGACATGGAACATGCATAAGTCTAGACTTAGTAGTCCAAAATTTCTGCTGGTGAGTCAGCTCAGATCGTCTGACATTGTATTGCCTACTAAATAATGATAATTCTTTAATTTTACAACCACTGGTCAAGATGCAAACCAAATACAAATCAGGGTAGTGATTTGAACATCGAGTGGGTAAATTAGTAGTTTAAATAATAACAATAAATAAGTTTATGTGTGTTTACGATTCGAGTAATGATAAAGGTTTTAACGAGTGGAATCGAGGTTTTGTAGTGTAAATCCGTGACTTAGCAGCGACTTAACAGCGACTTCAACTGTGAGTGTTCGTCAGATTCGTGGCTTTGACTAATAATTTTAATTGTGGTGAAGAATATGCAAGATTTGACAGTTATTATCACGCTGGCCAATCGGATTTTGGATTTTAGATTTTGGGTCTGTACATCATTTTTTTCTCCTCTAAGCCATACATTTTCATCACTCCGTTTCTGGTATATACTTAAGATGTTCTTTCTATTGTACATTACAAGTCTTGCTTAATTTCACGTAATGATAACGGATTTCAATATGGCGGGTAGGTACAGAATATAATATTTCATATTAAGTCATTTAAACCATGCCAATTTAGTAAGAAAAGTTATTTATTAATCTATGTATTAATATTGATACAAGCTACATATTGAATTAGACTTCTATTCGTATTTGGGTATAATTATGAAAATTTATTAAGGTACGTGTATAAATTCATTTATATATACATTAATGTTTCACTTTAAAGTAATTGTCTCCGACAAGATTCTTAACACATTCATTTGGAAATACCATACTGTTTACAGTTGATATTATATATTTCGGAACAAATTAAAAATTTGCTTGTTTTTCAGAAATATTTTCAGATTTAACCTGAAATTTCTGGAAATTACATTGCCTGTTTCTGGACCGAAAGGTTCGAATATGGTGATGTAATTTTGGAGTTTATAAGATGAAACTGAAAATTTTTGGGTGACAAGCTGATTTTTAATCTGTTCTAGAGTTTATGAGAACAGTTGTAAGTTTTCGTATCAAATTTAGCAAATTAGAAAAATTATTTCTTAGTTCGAAGTTTTTCAAGCTATGATCACCACACTAAAAGCATCATATCCTTTAATCAGCATATTCCATTCCTGTTAATTTCGATAACGAACGAGTGCTTTCCAATTCTATATTGATAACAATATCCAAGCTGTAATATTCCTTTAGTGTCTCTATCTTTAATTGTCCGTCGCTACGCTCCGGACACTCAATTTCTACGCACTGTGTGATACAAAAGTTATGTTTTTGATGCGTTTTGACCATGAAAAATTCTTTTTTGATGCGTCAGTATAATTATCTAATCAAATATATCAATATCGTAATTTGGAAATTTTTGTCTGTCCGCACATGTGATACGTGATTGCAAGATTATTTTTGAACAACAAACACAACAAACATGTTACTGATTAATAATTAGGGATGTTAAGCGTTCCAAAAGAACTTAAGTTCCAGACCGTTTATTGAGGTTTTTAAGTAGTTAGTTCGGTCTTT